TCTCTCTCTCTCTCTCTCTCTCTCTCTCTCTCTCCTCCTCTCTCTCTCTCTCTCTCTCTCTCTGATGGGCTTCTTTTCCCAGCTTTAAGGGAGACTGGCTTCGAACGGATCTGAATGTTATAGGGTTTGGGTTGATTGGGTGGATTGCACCATCAAGCGTACCAGTCATTAATGGGAAGAGCTTAACCGGTCTTTTCTTCGAGAGCATTGGTTCTGAACTGGCTCATTGGCCTACGGGCCCTGCTCTTACTTCCCAGTTCTGGTTAGTACTCACTTCTTCTCCTTTATCATTCAACTAATGGGTTTTTCTAGATTTGGGGACTGATTCTACAACTAATGGGTTAGTGCTCACTACCGTAAATGTTGTCAATATTGTATATGAGCACCTAGCACACTCCTAAAGACACATGATTGTCATCATATGCCACATGACTATAGGTATGGGTTGGGTACTCGAAACCGGACCCAAATAGTATTTGGGTCCAAATTTGGACCCATACCCAGACCCAAGGTAGGGTATACCAATCAGGTACCAAGTCTGGTCGGGTCCATTGCCACCCCTAACTACATATAAAAAAATGTATATTAATATTGTGTCATCAGAATTCAAAACCCTAGACCAGTGTAAACTAATCTATTTTTCATTTTATTGAAGGATTTTTTTTATAAGAGTATATTTACTTCATTAATAATAAAAAAGAGCTACACATGTACAACAAAGAAAGAGGAGAGAAAAAACAAAATCTAATAAACAAATTCTCCAAAATCAAAATTTCATCCATCACCACTCCTTTATTTGCAAGACCATCAGCACTGTATTTGCCTCTCGAGGCACATGCTGAAAAGTTATCGTCATTAGATTGGAAATGTCCATGATTTATATTAATTTTCATCTTAAAGTCCAAGGTGAGCGGACTCATTCTTGCACCAATTGATTGTATTCGAAAAGTCACCCTCAATAATACATGGAACATTCCTAAAATGCTGAGGCAAAATACGCACATCTTGGAGAACAGCTTTAATCTCTGCCAAATTGGCCATAGTTCTTCCACATGGTACAACATAACAAATAAGCACTTCCCCGTTCGAATTCCTAATCACCACTCCAAAAACAACTGGCCCAAGATTCCCATGTGAACATCCATCAAAATTTAACTTCATAGACCCATGTGGAGATGGATACCACTCTCGAACTGGTCTAGCCTTAATGAGTATCTGGCATATCAGATTTGACAAATTTAAGCTAATATCAGCCTCAGCCGCACCAAATCCCTCTCTTGTTATAAATAACCAGCTCCAAATAGTGTGTACAATTCTCCTCTTAACTACCCCAACATCGGATTGTCTACCTTCAAATACCTATTATTTGTCTCTTTTCATATCTCCCACAAAACTACAGCTCTTGCAATCAGCCAAATCGTTTTTCTAACACCCATGACACCTATAAAATCCCAGTATTCCCATTTCTGAGTATGATGCTCCGGGATAACCATAGAGATTTCAAGCCTCTGAAACATCCAACGCCATATATTGCGAGTAAAATTGTACTGTAAAAGTAAATGATCACCACTTTCAGCGTCTTCTTTACATAGTAGATGTACATTTACCACCACTCTTCCCCTCTTGATGGGATCATCAACAGTTAAGTATCCATAAGAAACATCTCACTTTCAATGGCACCTCCCATTTTCAAATTTTATGCAATGACTCCCATCTCCATCTTAATCTATCATAAAATAATAGATCATATGCATATCACACACTCAATTGGCCATCATTATCTATCTCCCATATAATTTCATCCTCAATAGTTTGTGAGAGACGCCTCCCTTGGATAATAGTCGTAATTTCTGCAAACTGTTAATTCACAGTATCTGGCACCCAATTTCTAGACAACTGTACATTCATTTGTGCAATCCCACCTCGCATATCCACCATCTCAGCTGCTGTCAAGTACTTACTGATCGACAATTCAAATAGATCAGGAAACTAGTTTTTTAATGCTTCCCCTTCCAACCACCTATGATACCAGAACAGAATTGAGTTTTCACCGCCAAAACTCCATCTCAGACTACTGAGAACCAACACTCTTAAGCCCAGATGATTAATTTTATACATAATAATGCATATCTCTTACATAGTTCAAAAACATGTGAATTACTCATTTTCCTCTACAGAGTAAATCTGAGAAGTAACTTAGTCGGTATTAGTTTTTGGAAAAAGTTTATATAACGATGAATCCTAAACATCAAATTAAGGTGCACCTTAAAAAAATCGCTAGAAGAAGTTGTTTTGATGCCAAAAAATCCTCAAATTGATCATCTTGACCTCAAGATGTATGGATATGAAAAAAAATGGATTTCAAGTCTTAAAAAACTTGCATCTTGTAATGCATTTTTGACACCATCAATTTTCGAGATTCGCAAGTGTTTAAAGATCTACCCGATCTATACAATTTTTGAAGTTTTAAATCTTAAAATTAGAGATGAAAATAAATTTTCATGCCATCACAAAGATTTTTAGTACTGAAACAACATCTTTCAGTACCATTTGAAGGTGCGCCTTGAAGTGGATGCTAGTGATAGGTAATGTAGTGATCTTATTAACTAATAAGAATAAACTTTTCTTAATTTATAAGGAAAAAATTATATCTCACTTTTTAACATTGTAATGCCAAATAATCCCAATTTCTATAGAACATGGACCCCTTCAATTTAAAAAAAAATAAAAATATGAAATGCATTCTCTACTATTTTTTCTTTATTTGTATTACAATATTTATTCATTTTCTTTTTTCCTAGTGACCATGTCATCCAAATAGAATTTGGAATGCCACAATTAAATAATTCATGATGTTCATCAATTGAGAGAGAGAGAGAGAGAGAGTGAGAGAGAGATTTTTTTTCCAGGGGAAGTTGAGAGAGAAAGTTGGTAGAAGGGGTTTACAGGTGATAGAGAGAGGGGTAGCTTTTCCAAAGTTTGGATAACAAGGTCTTAAGAGAAAAGGCAAATGATAAATATTATAATTTAGACAATAAACGGGTAGGGAAGGGGCTAAACATTCTTTTCTTTTAATTTAGACGGGATTTATGGACTTTCAATGAAACTAGGGGTTTATTTGGGATTTTAATTATATGAAGGAGATGTATGTGTCTTGTTCCTTACAAGAGTGCTTATGTTTGATGCAAAGGCCGAACTCATCCTTCGCCATCCCATGTGAGATGTAATGGCTAGGTTTTGAAAATCCTTTTTAAGGAAATATATAATCTAAGGGATTAAAACCCCTTGCCAAATCACTATAGTAGTTAAAAAACTCAACTAATATTAGAAAGTCCACTTTTTAGTGTTCATTTCACTTAGATACCTCCCAAAAAAGCATCAATCTATTGCCCACATTGCTAATATTCAGAATTTTGAACCTAAACAAACATGTGCATTTATATAATTTGATGCACCTTTGAACTAGCAGAGGTACTCTCCTCTTTTAATTGGAGCACAATAGTGGCAGCAATGGGTCGGTCGGCCTACCCAGCATAGTCAGCCTGTCCTAAAGCCTAGGGCCTAGTCCAAAAAATGTAGTAGGGTAGAGCTTGGCCAACCCACGATTGGGCCCAGCGCAACCATTTTTTTCTTTTCATCCCCCATCTACCTACCCACCCAGCCAAACCCTAACAAGGCCAAGGCTCGGTCTGGGCCACTGCTTCTGTGGCACTAATGGATCCTTGGCCTGGGTAGCGCATAGCCAATCCCCATAAGGACTAGGACAATGGTTACCCAGCCCAAGCCAAGTTCATTGCCTACCCTAGGGCCTGTGAGGTTGCTCAAGTTACTAAAATGCTCCAATCTATTTAAGGTTCCCAACCCTACAAGTATAATACGAGATATTTTTAAATCTACATGACATACCTAACATGAACTAAGAATTACAATATAAGCCCTCTATTGCTTGTTGGGATGTTTTGACCCTCTTAATGAGTTTAAAAAGAGGTTATAATGACTTAAAATGAATTTTTCCTCTTTTTAGACTTTTATCAATGCTTGGTTGAGAGTCCAAGGACCTTGGTGTTACATGAGTGCATGGTTTTGTTGGTTTGGCAGGCTGTGGATGATTTGCTGGCACTTTGGTCTGTTCCTCTGCCTTACATTTGGCCAGATCGGTTTTAAGGGAAGGAACGAGTACTTTTGAATTGAAGTCTTGTACATTTCGGATTATTTCTGCTCTTACCTCTCCTTGCTTTGCCATGCCATCCTGTAATTCCGTGTTGTAATTTTCTCTAAGCTTGTTCATATGTAATTTTAATGGACATTGAAGTACGATATTATCAATTCTTAAAATGATTAGAGTCTAAATACTATTAAGCCAATCGTTTAGATTTCCTATTACTATTCGTTCCAAATGCTGCTTATCCTTTCTCTCTCTCTTCTCTCTAACTATGTGTCTACGCTAGATGGTGTATCAATCTTCTAAAAACATATACGACATTTTATAGAGTGTTTAATGATTTGTCCTTTTTGCAGACTTTTAGGTTTTGATATTTAGCATTAGCTATTTAGAAGTGCTATCTTCAACAAAAATATTTTATTTTAAAAATGAAAAATACTTTAGAATAATAAAAGTAGTTTAGAATACAAATAAAAAAGAGATAAATACATTAGGACCCTATTCAATACTCATACAACTGATTGAGAAGTGTAGGGAATATGAAAAAGACCTTTACATGGTCTTAAAATTTTATTTGGTAGGTGTTAGGGAAGAAAAGAGTCTCTAGCTACTATATCGACTTGGTACGAGATAAGTACGAGGGAATGTTAACTAGTGTACAAATAACTAATGGAGAGACGAGTGAGTTTTCAGTAACGATGCATCTACATCAGTGCAAGATATTACATCGTTTTAGAAAAATTGAAATATGTAAACATTGAATCCTTCAACAATGAATCAAAGCCCTCCATTTTTATGAAAATCTATGAGGTATTGGAGCTGTATTTGATAGAATGGCGGAAATTTCTAATTTTCAAAAATCCCCATTTCGATCCTGCCAAGAACTCTTTGTTTTTCGACTTTGATTCAATAATCGATGATTTATAGAAACTTTTTGGTGTATAACATCAATAATTGACTGGAAAAAACAAAAAAAATCAAAAAATGAAATAAAAAACAGCTGTAAAATCTTTATTCACGGGTTTTGTGAAAAATAACGGGTTTGTGTCAAATAATAGCCGTTTTTTGATGCGTTTAAAACGGTGTTATATCGGGCGTTAAAACAGTACACCAAACCGGTTAGGAAAAACTGGTCGGTTTAGACTAAATATTGCAGGTTCGACCTTGAATTGGCGGTTTAAGTGCCAATTTTTTTTGGAGAACGTCTTCTATTCATTAGGACCACAAAATCGGTCGTAACCGGAATCGATACCTTGCCGGCACCGATCGAACCGGCTAGTTCCAGCTCGGACCGGCCGGTTTTGCGAACACTAGTTGTATACAATAAGATCATTTATTTTAGATCTAAGGCGTTCACATTCACTCATGGCTATTAGATGTGAATTACGACAACTTGAAATATGTTACGACATTTGATAAATATTATTTTGGAGTTCGTTCCTAGTCAATAACACATCCCCAGCTACCTGATTTCTTCATATCTAACGGTTAGTGGTGATTGTGACATCCTTGCACTGAAAATAAATGGTCTCACAATATACATTTCTGTAAAGAAATATGTCCAATCATTTAGAAAAATATTTATCAAAATTGAAAAAAAATCAGCTTTCTTTTACTCAGGCCTTCCGTTTTCATAGCTAATATCTCGTCGCAATATGTGTGTATGTCATTGGCGTTAACATTAAAATGCTCATGTTTTATTCAAATTTAGCATAAATACTTATGTAATATTAAATATTTGTTAAAGCTAGACTATGATATTTGGAATTTGGAAAATATATCTTATATGCCAAAATATTTTAAAAAGTTAAAAGTAATATGTTTTCATTTTATGTTTTAGAAATTTACACGCAAAAATATTCCTTGAAATAACGAAATAACGAAGGAGCTGAGGTGCTTCCCATTTCGAGCAAAAACGAGGAGCACTTCAAAGTAAATAGGGTGACGTTTGTATAAGGTTGCCCCCTTATACTGTAGAAGTAAGGGGTACCTATAGAATATACTTAGAAATGTCGTTTTAGCGTCGAAAACCTTATGATGGCTTCAAAATCTCTTTTTATCCTTAGTTATACAATGTAATATTTAAAAAATACTATTAATCGAGCAGATCAAGAAACACTTGAAAATCTTTAAAATAGACAATCGAGATAACTGGTTATAAGATGCATTATTTTTTAAATTTAGAATTTTTTTTTTTATGTTCATTAATCTCAAGGTCGAGATAATCAGTTAGACGGTTCTCGTATGCCGAAACACTCTCCACTACAGGATTTTTGAGGTGCACCTATGAGGTTGCAACCTTATTTCTTTTTTCTCTTTTTTTACGAAGGTTATCTATTTTATTGCTAACACATCAAAGAGAAGTTACATCATCCAGATTTATAATAGAAATCGAATTAAGAGAGACCTTTCTCTTTGCTAAAACATCTGCAGTACTATTTACCTTTCTGTAGACATGGTGGAAGGAAATACTCATCACTTCAATCATATAAGGTTGCAACCTTATATAAACCTTTTCCAAGCAAATATGATACATTGATTTTAAGTTTCAACAATTGACATCCCTTACCCAAATTAGAATTCAACCCAAACTGAAATTTAGAAGGCAATATCTGCATTCCCTCACCCAAACTGAAATTTAGAAGGCAATATCTGCATTCCCTCACCCAAACTGGTTTCTACCACCAAGTTTAAGCCTAAGGCAGAAGCCTGTTGAAAACACTGTTGTGGGCAAGTACTCGGCCCATTCCCAAGCTGAGTACTCCGCCTGAGTAGTGCCTCGTAGCAAAAAAAAAGGTTAAAAATCATAAAAAAATACAAAAAAGTAGAAAATATATCTTTAAAGTAAGATTAAGAAAAATATATTAAAATGAGGTTAACAAAGTAGGAGAAAAATAGATTTTAAAAAATAACTTGGGACTAGGGGTATTTTAAAAATAATCTTAGAAAAATGAAAACATAAAAATAAGTGGTCATGGACAAAACACTTTTCCAACCTTTGTCAAAAGTACAAAAAATAATAATAAATAAATTTCCTTTTTATTAGGATCTTTTATGATTTTTTTGAATTTTGTAATATCCACATGTGGGACACCCAACTCAGGGAGACACGAACTCACGTTCGAGTACTCGAGACTTGGACCGAGTAGTCAAACCCTAAGGGAGAATATATATCTTCTCTCAATCAAAATGGGACATCTTACACTGAACCAAAGCTAACGAAATTTTTTTTTTGTTTGACAATACTAAATTTTTTTATTAAAGGTATGTTCAAACAACATCAAATTACATCACAGAAATTAAAGCATCAGAAATAGAGAAAGAGGGAAAAGGAGATTCTGCTATTGTTTAAGTAATCAGTTGCTCCATTAGCCTTACAATAAACGAGAGAGAATGAAATCTTAAGGCCAAATGTAGAGCAAAGATAAAAAAAATTTAGCCCAAAGATATGAAGGGATCAGGAAATTCTTTGCTCCTACTGGCACCATTTGATAACATTGAGGGAATCACCTTCAATAATAACAACTCCTAAGATACCTTTGCTGACAATGATTTCCATCCCCTCCAAAAGGGATGAAAATTTAGCCTAGTTAATTGTGGTACTTCCGCAAGGTCCCGTATAAAAAAAAGATAATTGATCCCTCATAGTCTCTAGCAAGCCTCAAATACCAGCCAGGCCCAGATTACTTATGAATCTACCATCAAAATTGAGAAAATATTTCCAAACTAAGTGAGGACGAAGATTGGGAATGAAGGAGAATACAACATTACTCAAATTAACAAAAATGTCAACTCGAAAAACTCCACGACCTTCAGTTTCATAGGAAAACCAATCCCATAGAGGCTACAAGATACAATCTTTAACACCTTCAATATTAAGAGAAATGCCATCAAAGTTCTCCTACTGCACTCCAACCAAATCTACCAAATAACAACACTCCTAAAAAAGTTTCAAATAAAAAAGACAGGCAGACAGGATTGAGATGATGGATGATGTCAATTAAGTTTGCATGAAACATAAGAAATAAACCCAATGTTCGGAATGCCTATCACTAAATCCTAAAAGCAAAATGATAGTCAAAAAATAAATGGTTTCCAGAATTCTCATCATTCTTACACAAAACATAAAACAAATAGATATTTGGCAAAATTTTGCCCTTTACTCGAAGATTGTCAACCGTAAGGAATTTTCCTTGCATAGCTACGTAGAGAAAGACTCGAATCTTCATTGGTATAGGCAATTTCCAAACTGTACCAAAAGCAAAATTAGACCATCATACTCGATCATGAAAGAGTAATCTGTAAGCACACCTAACCAGGAAAACCCATCATTTTCGCTTTTCCTAACAATTTTATCGGAGCTAGCAGGATAGAGATATACATCTTGTAGGATATTGAGCAAAATCTGAAGTTGCACAAAAACACAATCCGACAACTTGTTATAACTGCACCCGATGTCCCACACTGAGCCCGAGCGAGAAGAAGAATGAAGGTCAATAATTTTGGTTGTCAAGAGTGAAGCTGTAGCAAAGAGATCTAGAATTACATGGTAGAGGGGCTATTCCCAACCCAATTATTGAATCAGAAAAAGATATCATCCCCATTACCAACAAGCCAATGAATTTTGCTTAAAACCCCATTTTTACAGCCAAAAATACATACCATGCCCTTTCTTGATTAAATGAGTACTATGCGAAACCATATTTTGCTGCCAAGACTTCTTTCCAAATATGATTTGGGCCCTGAATAATTCTCCACCACCACATAGAAAGGAGAGCCCAATTCATCAATTTTAGTTTACCGATACCCGGGTCTGTCATATTGATCAGCATACACACGATGTCCCAACTAACCAAGTCATATTTCCTATGAGTCTCATGAACGGATCTCCAATAAAGTTGTGCATATACCATTCAATAATCACATTACCTAGCATCTGAATAGTAGACATCAAGTAAATTGGTAGGTTAGTGTAAGTGGATTGACAAGGGTTATGCGGCCTCCCAAAGACAAGAGTCTTTGTTTTCACCGGATCAAGCTTTACTTGATAACTGTGAATAAGCAGGTCCCAAACTACTCAAGTAAGGTTGAAATCCGAGATGGAGACTCCCAAGTCTTACGAGGAAACTTATCAATTTTACAACCAAGAATAAGAGCAAGAGACTCGACAATATCCTGGCAGCAAGAGACCCCACGATCCGACACCTAGAGGCTTGTCACACAACCTTTGGTTTCTATATTTTTTAACGTCATACTAAAACCCTCAACAGCCAGACTGAAAAGAAAGAGAGATAGAAGGACCCCTTGTCTAATACCCCGAGAAGCCTTGAAAAATTCATTCGGACATCCATTGATAACAATAGAAAAATGTGTTGAGGAAAGGCAGCCCAAAATCCAAGAAAATCATTTTATTTCAAAATCCATATGTCTCATAATATCTGGTAGAATTTGTCACTCAACTCTATCAAAGGCTTTCTCCATATCCAGTTTTATGACCACCCCAGCTCTCCCTTAAAGTGTTCTAGAATGAATATATTCTTAGACAATAAAAATGCTATCACTAATCATTCAATTGCAAATACAAGCCGTTGTTCACCAAAAATGACAAATGGGAGAATAATTTTTAAACGCTTAGCATGGACATATCGGTGTTCTAAGATTCAATTTCCTGGACAAAGTTGTTGAAAACTTTTTCCTTGCACCCAAAACCAAAATGAATTGGCTTCCAAACTAAGTAAGGTCGTGTTTCAAGCTTTCAACCCAATTTTGCTAGCTTTAGTCAACAATAAACCTGCATTGCATACAAAATTTTCAATTTATTTATTTTATTTTCTAAAGGGTCCGGTTTGTATAGAGACAAGCCTCTAAATATCAAAGTAAAGCACATTTTTAAATAGTGCCGAGAAATGTGGTTTCAATACTGAAAATCTTTGTGATAGCCTTAAAATATAATTTTATTTCTAAATATAAAAGTTCAAGTTTAAAAAATAGTGTAGATTGAGTAGATCTATAAAAACTCGAAAATCTTGAAAATTGGCGGTCCAAAAATACATTATAAATGCACTATTTTGCAAAACTTGAAATCAATTTTTTTCTCATGTCCATACTTCTTGATGTCGATACGCTCAATTTGAAGATACTTGTACTTCAAAACAATCTCTTCTAGTGAAATTTTTTAGATGCACTCTAATTTGATTGTTTAGAGCATCCCACTTATATAATTTTTTTCCATTTCCAAATACCTAAAAACTTTCCTAGAATCACCCAATCTGCCAAAGCACTTTTCGCCAAACCCTAGAGGTTCCAAACTGAATTCAACGACATTCTAAATATTAGTATTACTTTAATAAACTAGATTGTTGTAGAGGGGGCAGTTAAGTCAACCAGCCAACCTAACCAACCGATAGAAAATCCGGCGAGTTGGATCCATGTTCATTTGACTTTGACTCGACTGGGTCAATCCAAATCTCGGTCCATCCTAAACCTTATCAATTTTTTTCAGGTTGGGATTTGGTATATATATAGAAAAATAGTTTAGTAAGGTTGCAGCCCTATCAAAATAAATAAAACACCATCTCATAGCCCCTCAAAAATTGTAATTAAAGCAATGAAAAACCTTTACATCGATTATCTCGGCTTGAATAAGATGATGGAAAAAAAAAATTAGGATCTCAAGCTCTAAAAATAGTATATATTGTAATAAATTATCTATACCATTCATTTCACCCTAAATATACGTGTTCAAAGATATACAAGATCTCTACTATTATTTGAGTTTCAAATTTTATTTGCGGTATTAGAAATTGATTTTAGAACCATCATGGATATTTTTGTCCGAACAAGGATTTATGGTGAGGTTTTATTTTGTTTTCATCAAGCCTAGGCCTTATAAAAACTAGATCCATATATATATGACAAATATTTCTATACTTCCCCTACAGCATAGACGATATATGCTTCCCCCTTCATCCAGTCGTCCATTCGAGATCTGACACCTCAAAGTATTTTAATTTTAGTTTTTTTTACATATTGTATGAATATAAAATTTGTTACATGCCATCATCCCATTGGGATGAATCTAAAAAATTATTAAAAAGAATATTTCAATAAAATACAATTATCAAAATAGCCCTTAAATATTTCAAGGGTATTTGATCGTTTTATTTTATTTATAACATTTTTTTAATATTTTTATAAGAGCAAACTTAAGAGAGAAGTGGACGCCAAAAATTTGGTGTCAAAATAATTAATATAGAAAAAACTAACAATAAAATAGTGATGACATTGT